TTTCAACTAAAGTTGAGAACCAGCTTATATTGATTTTGTGTCATAAAAGCTTGCGAATTAAACTTTTTTTCGTTTCTTCTTATGTTTATGTGATGATCTGGTTTATACACATATGAATGGTCAATGTACAACCTCACAATTTCAATAAACCAATTTGATTGGACTTACAGAGTTCAATAAAATGCGCTATAATACTACACATTTTTTGAAATATATTTCAACCATTTTTATTCTTTATAGTTGCATCATCAACTTATCTGATTAAACGAGTAAAGGACAAAAAGAAAAAGATCAATAACGTAAATGCATTTTCCCAATTTCACGTTTTCATTTAAATCTTTTTACAGCTATGCTTTTAGCTCTTTTAATTTATCGCCTTAGTCTATAATACGACATCTGTTCGAGCAAAAAAAAAAATTGAAATGCAGAAAATTTTTTGCTCGTGAAAAAGCAGTGGAGATGAAAAGATTTTTCATGTGATTCCTCTATCTGTGTCTTCTAAAATTTCGTTTCGAATAAAATTAAATATTTTCACATGACATCAATTTTTAGTTTTGCAGTCGTGCAAATGTTCATTATTAGGACTTAAGAACGATTTTATAAGATTTTAATTTGCAGTTGGTAATGTCTAGAGCTTTTAATCCAATTATTGGTCTCTTTACTAAATTTATTGTTAAAATTCATCTTTTGATTTTAAATCGTTTCCAAGTTTCAGAAATTTAACGAACAATAAATTATTTCATCTTTTCAATTGCAATAAATCAAGGTTTTTTAATTATCTAATTGATGATTCTTCCTTTTAAAATCGATGAGAAAAGTTATACAAGTCTCATCATCTATCGTGTGTCTTGAAAAAATTTAATCTTGGAGTTCTCATGTCAATACTTCTGAGATATTTCCATTGATATTAAGTTGATGAAAGATTGGATCTTTTTCATCCTCGATGTTAAAATAGTTGAAAAAGTTTTATGTGACTGAAATTATTTTATGCTTCAAGAAGGAAGTGGAATAATTGCAAAAGCAATAATTTAATTTATATTCTAATGAAATTTGGTGGCGTGTGATAAAACTAATCAGGAATTTAAATTTATGTTGAATACATTTGACATAATGGTTTGCGATTTTGCGAATGCATTTGCCCCTAGTCGCCATGCATATTTTGGTCAAAAAAAGTAATTTATTGTGAAATCATTCAAGAATAAAACTAATTTTTTTTAAATCACCAACATAGAATTTAAAGTTAATCTAAAATTGATAAATTAAATTTTCAATCATAAATGTAAAGAATAAAAAGAATAAGGTTAAACATATCGAAATTAAGATACCGTTGTCTAGTGTTGGGTATGTATATTAATCGTTTTGCATACATTAGCCAAGAGAGAAAGAGAGAGAGAGAGAGAATAAAATCCATTAGTATGCAACACATGAGCACTTAAAAATAAATGAAAAATGTGTTTAGTGCTTCTCAATGAATTTAATGGAAATAAATTAAACATTTAAAAATCCACTCTTTATCGCAGCATATTTATTTATTTTTCCTCTTAAACGATGCTAAAAGCAAGCAATAAGCTTCACATGAATTATAAAATTGGAAATTTCCAATGGCTGTGATATGTGGAAGATTTATGGGCTATTATGAGTATCAATTACAATTAATCTTATGGAAAAATAAAGGAAATTACTTACTCGTCATTAATTTCTGCTAAGCCAAAGATTGGTTTTCGAAAAATTATAATTGATAAAGATACATAAACGATAGTAACTTCAAAAAGTAAATAATGAGTTATAATTTATAAAATAAGAGATTGAAATAACAAAACCTTTAATATTTTTTTTATAAATGGCATTAAGCACCGATTTTTTCACCGCCCACAGCTTTCAATAATTCTTTGTAAATACTCTCATAAAAAGATTTAACAGCTTAAAGAAAGCAATCATCTAATCTTTTCCAAAAGTCTTCTTTTCATTTCCTAACTTGAAAAACATATAATTAAAGAAAATTGTTTTTGGACGAGTTTTAAAAGTAATTACTAAAAGGAAAATATTCATTGTATTGCTTTGCGTTGAAAAAAGCCTCAAGGTTCTTCCAAAAATTACTTTCTTCTCGTTCCCTTTTCACAAACAATTAATTGCTTGAGATTTCTTTGTACGAATTATTTTTTAAGGTTTATTCTGTTCATAAAGAAGTTCCTTGTTATATCCAAAAATGATCTAGCAGCAGTTACCATTTTCCTTTCATTTAATTATTATGACTTATAAAGGAAAAATATCGAATCCTTCTCATTTTGTTTATCTTCTCAGCACCATGCAGAATTCTAGACGTAAATAAGCTGCGGTAATTTTTTAATCAACTGTGTTCATCAGACAGCAAATGTCAATAACATCAATATGTATCGATAAACAATATAAACAGAAATACTTATTTTATTACAGCTTTTGGTTGTTATGAGCTATAAAGAAAGCGTCAGATATTGTTGTCAGGTTATTGATGAAACTTTTATGGCGCATACATTCAGTAGTGCTATTTTTTTTTTCTAAAATCTGTTATATTTTTTGAGTTAAGCAGTGTTTAGTCTGTTTTCGGTTCTTTTAAAATCAATTGTCTACGTATTGAGACTTATTCATTCCTTTTCAAAAAATATTACTCATAATTTCAGCCACTCATGTTTTTCAAACATATGATTAATTTTTTTTTTATCAATAATAAAGGACAGCAAATACACGTGTTTGATAAAACATCAATAAAAACTTGGCACAATGCCTTTTTGACGGTTCAAGGAATCGTAAAAAAACTTCAGCTTTACAGATAAAAATATATTTTCCCCAAAACACTTTTTGCCTTTATTTTATGCTTCTTCAAGTGACAAGTTAATCGTTTAAGTTCTCATTTTCTTTTGAAGTTTTTTTGATTTCCTCATTTTCAATCAAGCGAAAATATTACAACATGATCTCTGGATGACAAGAGAACTTTTTTTGTTATCTTATAAACATTTCATTTAATATTTCTCATCGGATGAGAACTGTTCAACTGAGTGTTGCTTTAAACAAGGAAGTTGAATATAATTTTTTCAACAAACAAAATTGTTGTCAACAAATGACTTGACATTTTCTACACAATTTATGTTATGACAATTTTTTTTCAAAAATGAGCAAAGCATGTAAAGGGATCCTTTTGATGTTTCTGGAAGCATATACAGTCTTGGCATTTGTACGAGATTTATAGCAAAATTAAATTGATTTAGTTTATGTATTTTGACTATTTTTTTTTTCGAAGCTTTGTCAGGAAACCTTACCTAGTGAATAATGTATGACTTTTCTATCATCACAAAGCATCAAATATAGGCTTGAAAAATTAATTTCCCCGTGTCAAACGATTGACTTTTTTACATCTTTTTCTCAATTGAATTATGAGTAATATTACTTGAACATCATTTTACTAGAAGAAGATGAAAGAGAAATGAGCAGCTACTATTGCCGCAATCGACATGCTATATAAACATATTTATCAATATGATTTTGACATTTCATTCGCCATTTAAAGCCTCACTTTTTGTCTACTCAAACGATCTGCCGTAAAAAATGAAATATTCATCATCACCTTTATTTTCTACAGTTTTCGATGCTAAAAATGCAATTAATATTTCCAGAATTTTTTTTGTCTCCACGTGCCTACATCTGGTGAAAATGATGCCACACATCAGTCTATGACTGTAATAAATATCATATAAATATACAAATCGATATATTGGCAAGTCTATTGTTTGTACGTAGAAAATATTGACAGCTGTTTTCTAAACGAGATGAAACTTTATTTCTTACTGAACTAATGACAAAATTTTACCCAGATTTAGCAAAAAAAGTGTATATTTGAAAACGAGTTGGTTACCTAGAAGAATATACTATTTATGCCAACCAAAAAACAACCCAGAAATTTTTTGCACCCAAATTATCATTGAAACACCACACAAGTGATTATTCAAGGAAACATTAATTCAATACTTGTTGTTTATAAGTTTACCATTTTACTCTCACATTTCATTTTTATTATTGCCTCACATGATTTCTACGCCTTTAAGCCATACTTTAACCAGCAATACTAATTTAACAAAAATTGACGTAATAAATACTATAAAAGTCGGAAATGAAATTTATTAAAACGACCATTAAGTCGTCGTCGGAGTCTAATGGCAAAATTATTTTCGAAATGAATGACCAATTGTGATAAATTTTTCTTAGACCATAATGGGATAACGGAATGTTTTTATTCTATAGGGTGGTAACTGTATACAGATACATTTTTTTCTAATCTGTTGCTATGGCAGTATGGCTAAATATAACTTCCTTAATGACGAGGACATTTACTGGTGTTAATCAAAGCACAAAATAAATCTTTTAATAAAAAAAAATGTCACGACAGCTTTTGCAAATTATTGTTAATAAATTCGCTGTTGCTGCTAATTAAGTTACATGTTTAAGATAATTTAATTTCATCTCAAGTTTCTTCAAATGAAAATTTTCTTTGATTAAATACCTAAATAAGTTTTCTAATTAGTCTATAGCTTTTTATGGGGGAATTTCATTAGTTTGACAAAAAAGCATTTTAGGATCAGGGCAAAAAGTATATATACCTAGGAACCTAAAACAATCATCGAGTGACTCGTCTCTAGGGATTATAATCGTATGTTATTAACAAAAATTTTCAATATGCTTCCTGATCATGAAGATTGAGTCATTGGGAGTTTTATTGAGCACACAGAAATAGCTATGAATACTCTCTAAATGTCATTTTGTGTCAACAAGATTTTCTCCATGCAAAAGAATAAAATTTATGGAAAAAAAAAATTTGAATACGAAGAAATCTCTCGCTTTGGTGTCTCATATACAGGAACAAACCTCTAGGGATATATTCCTTTTCCGTATTGGAAAATAGAAGATAACGAAATGAAAATGATGATTTTTTTTTCTAGGCTTGACGAGAAGGCATTTCTCATCACATCTCAGTCAACAATAAAATTGATGTGAATGAAAGGTTTGAAAATAAAGTGTATGATGAGCGAATAGGAGATTCTATGGAATGACTGCTTTTTTTCTTATAGCATGCATATATGAAGTTTTCAAATATTTTCATTAAAACATTTTAAAAGGACGAGCAGTGTGAATTTTTTTTAATGCTCGCTTGTGTATGCTAAATACATCATATTTCATGATTCCTCTCGACAGGATATGTGTGCAGAACACACATAAATACGATGTTTGCCACGGGACACACCGCATGTTTATACAAGATACGTTCATGTTTGAATAGAATTGCATCGTCCAAGTTTAAATTGTCGTTAAATTGATTTTATTTCTGATTTGACTCTTATTAATTAATGCAAATAACAAAAGTTTAATTATTTTTTCCCCTCAACCATGAGAATGTGATAACCGAATTTTGTTTTAATGGGTGGATCTGTATAAATTGGATTCGCTACGGTTGAAATTGGCAGTGCAAATGCAGCATCTTGAAATGGACCAACCATTGCACCTCGAATTTGCCATCCTAAATCTCCACCTTGTCTTGCTTTATCTTCACTATAAGCTGCAGCTACATCTGGAAATTTTTGTCCAGCTTTAAGTTTCTCCATAGCTTCAAGAATCTTTGATTGTTTTTCACACAAAATATGACGAACTTTCACAGAAGTTCCACCTCCTTTCTTCTCCTTTCCTCCTGCATTAATAAAGTATTAAATTTTAAATTAAATTGTAAATTTAAAAATGTTGTGTGATGCATCAAAAATTTTTTTTTGTTGAATATTTTCGCAACATAAGCCGCTCAGGATTGAAACATATAAAACTGTGAATTACGAGGAAAAATTGGATATATGGCAATTTACATGTAGATGTAAAATTCAGTGAACTATTCAGAATATTTTTAAAACAAAATTTGGCATGTGCGACATTTTTATCAATTACTATGAAATTATTGGCAGCATGCAGAAGTTTCTACTAAGGGTCCTCGATTTGAGTAGATTCGATTTGAACAGAAAATTTATTACCCACCAAAATATTCGATTTGAGTAGATTTCTTCCTGTTTTCTTCGATTTGAATTGTTTACAAAACAAATATTTTTGATAAAAACATTTCAGAAAATAATTTTAAAACATAAATTTTACTGCGATAAGCGTGAACTTATCATATTGATAGAAAAATCAATACTAAAGTTACAAAATTAAAGTAAAAATTTAAAAAATCGATATAAAATCAACGATTTTAAAAAGTTCAAATTCAAAAACCTTACAAATTGTTCAGTGAAATAACATTTGCAAGGTTCTCATATTTTTGTTTTGTTTCAAAAACATTTTTTTTGTGAATTTCCGTTTAAAAACAATATGAATATGCGTTGAAATAAATTAATTTGTCTAAAACACATAGGAAAAGTTAAAAAACGAGGTAAAATGTGCAAAAAATGATCAAGATTTTCATTGTTTTGATTCATTTTTTGGACTCTGGAACAAAACATGTAATTTTGTATGTATTCTTTGCCTCGATTTGAATAGATTCGATTTGAATAGAAATTTTTTGGAACAAAACAACTACTCAAATCGAGGACCCCCAGTAATTGGATTTTTTTTGCAGATCGAATTGTTGAATCAAATCGATTTTTTAGAAATTATTCGTTTTATATAAAGTTATAGACCGGTTTTTATTGATTTTACCTTTATCTTCACTTCCACCAGATTTGTCTTTTGCTCCTTTATCTTTGGCGCCTCCTTTAACATCTTTTTTCGGTGGCATTATGCAGTTTTCACAAGTTAATTATGTATTGTTAAACTGTTTTAAACAGAATACGAAAATTACAACAAAAAAGTGTAAACAAAAACAATCAAGGCAGTTCCTTACTGGGAGACTTTCTAAGGGGCTCTTAACTCAATTGAAATAAAAATTGACTTTTAATGCTTTTTTAAGTTTGGTTAACATTATTTATTTTTTACATGTTATATACACAGCTTTATGCTCATGAATCAATCCAATTTGGTAAGTTTAATATTAGTCAAAAAAAAAGTTATAGATGGGAAAACAATAGGATTCTTTATGGTAAATGCTTTCATTATTCGCTATAATAGAAAATATTTTATGTCTCATTGAAATATGTCCGTTAAATACGAGTGAAAGAAGATTTTCTTTAATGATATTAAGTTGATATTGAAGCGATTATCAAAAGAAATATGTGTAATGAATAGACATTTAGAAGATATAAAAGGCACTCTAATATTTCTTCTCTTTAATTTTTAATTGGATGTCGAAAGTTTTGTTTTCTGACTCTTCTCTACAGATTCACGAAAAAGTGGGATGGAAATTAAGTTTTCTTCTAAATAGTCATTAAAATATAAAAATAATTAAAAAAATTCAAAAATCTCTAATGATTATTTACAACAGTCAAGAAATAAAATGAAATTTTTAACAAGAATGATTTAAGAAGAATGTTATTAAGCTACCATATTTTGTGCGACAATTAAATATCAATTAGTTGTCCTGTAACAGTCCCAGTTTGATGATATCGACGTCTTGATGAAAAATCTTCATTTTCTTCGTTCAATTGAGTTTGAGTTAGATTTACGGTCACATGTGGCTGAACGATTACTTGCTCGTAATCATGAACTTTTTTACTGCAATTTAAAATAAATTTTTAGATGAGTTAAGTGTCATTTATAATAACTTACCCGAAGCATTGGAAAATAACATTTTTGAGCCATACAAACAATCGAAATTCGTCAGCAATTCCAGGATTACAAGATGGATTTGCAGTTCCAACATAGAACCAAACGACGGCAACAACGAATATACAAATGAGTGCATAATAAAAGTTGACGAGGAACATGATGAAAATTTTGATGCAAGCACCAACAAGTGAGCAATATCGATTACAAAATCCACTGTACCAGTTCTTCGTTTTTTGATGAATTGGTGGACGAATTGGTGCAATTGGCTCATCGTCATTCTCTTCATTTTCACCTTCCACATGATTACTATTTACTGTATTTATAATTGGATCTACATCATTATTAGTTGTATTATTGTCTGTCGTATTTGTATTATTGTGTTCATTAATGTATTGCTGTTGTTGCTGTTGCTGTTGCACTTGTGGCTGAGGTACACGTTGTTGATGGTAAGGAGTATTCTCAGGACTAGATAAATTTTTATGTCTCGTTCTTTCCGGAAACAAAACATCAAGATCATTCTCATCATGTTGATTATTAGTTGCACCATAATTTCTCGATTCATAAAGAGGCGATGCTGCCTGTATCCTAAATCTCTCTTCTCGTTTCGTTTGAATATCAAAGGTTTGTGCTAATGCAAAATATGAATAATCAATGCAAGCGTATGTAAGCAAAAATGGCATTGTTACAACAGGTGCCAAAGAGTTAATGTCTCCGACGACAATGAATGAAATGATTATGATAGCTACAACGCTCATTGCATTAAGTGGAACTTTGTTCGGTCCTTTTCCTTTAGATAACTTCCCGATTCCGGGGATTACACTTTCATTTGCAATTGACTGAAGAACTCTAGGAGTACCATATAAAGACCCAAGGCACGAACTCATTGAACTTACATAAATGCCAGCATATAATAAATAGGAAATAGCAGAAACTTTAGCTGCAATTGTAAAGTCAACTAATAATGTAGCACGATGAACTGTCGAACCAAGAAAAATCATGAATACCATATAAAGGAATGTAGATGTAGCAATTGATGCTAAAGTTCCATTAGGAATGTCAACACTTGGTGTCCTTAAATCTCCACTCATATTGATTCCTGCTAAGACTCCCGTAATTGTAGGGAAAAATACTCCAAAAACTGTAAACCATGAGATTCCAGATTGATAATCAGGATATAAATTATCAAAGAACAATCCACTTCCCCATCCTTGGAATCCTTTTCCATCTTCATCAAGATCGGTGATAAAAGTTCCCACCATAAAATCCAAAGCTGATAACAGCAGAACAATTAATAATGCAAATTGGAGCTTAACAACCCATTTCACACCGGCAACATTGATCACACCTAAAAGTATAACAGCTGCACATGCGAATCCTCGAACAATCCATTGCTCATCTTGAAGACCCATCAGACCAGCTAAAGATTCTCCAAAACCGAGTACATTTAATGCACATCCAACAGCTTGTCCAAAGCAATAAAGAAGACCAAGACTTCCACCAAATCTTGATCCTAATGTATTTGCAATAAGAAAATATACCCCTCCTGTTTCCATTCGTATCCTCTCAACAATTCCAATTGCACTTAAAACACTGATGAGAGCAATTCCTACTGAGCATATGACAACCATAATCGAGTGAAGGATTCCAGCTTGTGCGACAATCCAACCAGATCGAAGAAATACAATGACACCAAATATGTTGACCATACATGATGTAAAAACCTAATTTGAAAACAAATAAAATTGTTGATGAGTACTTTGAGGAATTGACAAATTAAAAGTTAAAAAAATACTTACACCATCCCATTTTCCAAACAATGTTGGTTGACTTATAAAGAAATGTGATCGCCACCTAAAATTATTAATATTGATGACGGAATCAAACTTGTATGAATTTTTCAATTACCAAGGCTTATCCCCTTGCTCAGTGGCAAAGACTTCATCGGCACCTGAAGGCTGATGTCCTGAAACAGCATATTCTGCTTCATTTCCGAGATCTACAAATCCGCCAGCTGCCACACGAGATCTTGCTGTTCGTGGAATATTGTCAGAATCAAGACCATAACTGAAAACATGAAAGTGAAATTTTTTTTATAACACTAATTTTAATGTGGGAATTTATGGATTTTACCGATCCCAATTCATATTATTATTGTTGTTTCTACGCTCCGTCGTCATTACACAGCACTTATAAATAAATTTATGATGATAAAAATGCTTATATTTTTTGCAAAAAGAACTTAATATCGCTGTATTAAGTCTTTTCTTCTTCTATTTACGATTTAATGGGTGCAAAAAAAATTCATCTAAAACTTCACATAAGTTAGCATCTTTGGCTTACACATTAATTATTTATGCGCTTTTATGTAGCTAGATATGATCACAATAAATTTTCTATAAAAATTGCGTGGAAAAGGAGGTAAAAAGATTTTTTAATACATGAAAATAAGAAATGTATCTAGTTTCTGTCAGAGACTTATGTGTACACTTTTTTTCTACGTTTGGAGACTTTGAGACTGATTGACTCATTCGTGTTGCCAGATCTCATTTTTCTATACATGCTTTTTAGACATTCATAACGGTAAATTTAATTTATGAGCCAAGATTATGTAGCACATAAAACATAATTCAATTAGATTTTAATTTATGCTTTTGATGAATGTTTGGTCAATTTTAGTCGTTCCTTATGACTAAACAAATTTTGATGAAACACCTTTTTAAAGGAAATACGCAAGTGCTTATCATCCATGTATTTTTACCTGTTGATTAACGATAATTGAAAATGTGACTGTGTCAGCGACTAATTAATCGACATTTTTGATAGATTATCATTTTCTCACCCATCATAATTTGTCTTTTCATAAGCTTATGCAGGTTTTTTAAAAGATGATAAATCACGATAGTAACAACATTTAAATTATTCATCATATTTTACCACATTCGTCCTTTTACACATTGAGTGCTTTTGAAATATTTTAGTTCTCTCGTGGGCTTTAAAGACTAAAGAAGGATTGAAAAGAATCGGATCTATAAAAATGACAAACGTTTTTACTGAGGAAATGTCTCCGTTTATCAAAATCTTTCAAGTAATGGGACTTTATCCTTCATCATTTATTTTGAAGATTCATTCGCTGTTTAATTTTGGTTTAACGGTTTTCATCTTCATCTCAGCATTCTGCATATTTCCGGTGCTTGAAAATGATAATTCACTGTCATTGCTTGTTGGTGGATTGGTCTTTGTTGGAATTCTACTCACTAATCTCATTAATATCACACAAGCCTTCTTCTCAGTAAATCAACAGACAGAAATCTACAGAAAATTTGATCAGATTGATTTAATGCTTGCTAATCAGCTACTTGTTCATGCTGACTATAAAAAGATTCGTCGTCGATTAATAATCAAATATACCTTATTGGCTTTTGTTTTGCTTGCTATTCATGTTGTTTCGATTGTGTCAGTGACAGTTTATGGCGTAGCTTTTAGCTACTATGTGCATTTAATTGTTCCTGTTGGTGCTACACGTCTCCGCTGCATTCAAAACATGTTCTATGTGGACATCATTAACGAAAAATTAAAATCGATGAATCAAAAGCTTCATGATATGATTAACCGTAATCACGATAAAATGGCATTCATTTTATTCTCACACAAGCTTCAAAAGTTTGATGTAAAGGAAAAGAAGATAAGTTCATCATTATATGAGCAAATCATCACACTGAAACAGATTTATGGCAAAATTTTCGATGTGTCAAACTTGATTAACGATGTTTTTGGATGGTCTCTTCTTTTTGTTGTGAGGAATTAACTCTCATTTTCTATATGTTTAGACTACTAATTTTAAATGAAATCTAGGTGACGCAGTATTTCATTGAATTTACATCAAATGGATATTGGCTATTCTTGGCTTTAGAAAATTTATTAGAACAGTCATTCGCCATTCAGTCGCTATGCTCAATATTCCCGATTGCTATTCTGTTGACAACTATGGCTAATTCATGCTTTAACTGCTCGGAAAATGCGCAACAACTTGGTGTATTGATCCACAAGATTGAAAGAGATATCAACAGTGATTTGCAGAATGCATTAGTAAATTGATCAATTTATTCCTTTTTAAATTTATTAATTAATCATTATTCCTTTAGATTCGCGAGTTTTCTTTACAACTGATTCATGAGCCAATAACAATTACTGCAAACGGATTTTTCTCCATTAATTTCACACTGATTGGTGGTATGGCAGCTTCGACTGTGACTTATTTAGTCATTTTGATTCAGTTTCAACTCAGTGAAATCAAAAAGACATCAAACTCGACAGCATCTTAAGAAGATCATTACATGAGCTAGGGTTTTTGGACGAAAAAATCTACGGATTTAATTTTATTCTAGGACTTTGAAGTATTTTTCATATGCAGTTTGGAATACAACCAAAGTGTCTGAAAATTTATAAATGTGTGGGGATTTAAAACCGCAAAAAAATCATGTTTTGTATCAAAAGTCTTTATTCCAAATACTCATTGTGTTTTTATGCTGCATGTAACTTACAACAATTATAAATAAAATAATTAAAAACTGTTTACTAACAAGGAAATGCATTCGATTAATTAAAGATTCCAGGAAAGATTAATACTTTTAAACATTTTTTGTCTTGGTTAAGATAAGTACTGATAAGCAGGTTGATTTCTTATAAATGTATTCTCTTGATTGTATCAATTAGTAATCATAATGATACACGGTTCATAAAACTAAACTCTTTAACATTAAAATTGTATGTTGATTAAAATTGTTTAGACGAAGTCATGATAGGCACTAAAATACTAGGAGGTCCAGCAACTAACAAAAATGGATCAGATAACAATTCAGCCGCACTCGCTCGTTGCGATGGATCTCTCACCAACATTTTATCAAGGAATCGTCTTAAACGAGGTGATACTTTGTGAATATTTTTCGGTGTTGGTGGTGGCATATCTCGAATTCTGCGCATTGCCTGTTAATTTATAAATAATATGAATAATGTTAAAGGGTATTTTAGAAATTCAAAGTTTATAAGTGAATTACTTGTAATGGTGGCTCATTGAAGAATGGAGGTTCCGCATCAATCATCTCGATCACCATGATTCCTAGTGACCAAATATCAACCTCTGGTCCATACAACAATCTTGAGATGACTTCAGGACTCATCCTAGAAAAAAAAAATCATTAAAATTCTACTTTCTAGAATTAAAAAAAATTTGTGCTTACCAATAAGGAGTTCCAACCAATGACTTTCTTTTTGGTAATTCTTGGGATACTTGAGCACAGAATCCGAAATCGGAAAGCTTGACTCGTCCATCGGATGCCAATAATATAGAATCAGATTTTATGTCACGATGAATTACTCCTTGAGAGTGCAAATAAGCCAGAGCTTTAAGAACTTGCTTGCACACAGTGGCAATTTGCTCTTCATCCATTCTATCGTGTGTGACAATGTCAGTTAATGCGCCTCCTTCTAAATATTCCATAACAACCCATAATTCATCATTCACTAAGAAACTGTTGTATGTCTCAACTATTGAAATAAAATAATAAATAGAATAAATGTCTAATAATTAGAGCACGTTACCAACGTTGTTGTGACACAGTGGAACACAGTGTAATATAAAGGATGGGTTAACAATAGAAAAGGGAACGAACCTATATTAGGATGATGATAATCGCGTAAAATGACAACTTCATTAAAAAGCAGCTCACGTCTTTGTTGTTTTCTTAAATCCATTTTCTTAACGGCAACTTTACGCTCTGAAAATTATACGTGACACTAGAATTATTCAGTCTTTACAATTGAGATTTAATGCAACATACTTGTATTCTTTTCCAATGCAATCCAAACTGTACCAGTTGAACCTTCACCAATTTTTATAAAGTTTTCCAGATTTTCTCTAGGATCGCCTGAAGATACCACCATTTGTAGTGCTGCTCGAAATTGTTCATGAGTTAAACGCTGTTCTTGTTTTCCATTGGTTCCATTCATGCTGCCTGGATGACTTTGTGGTTGATTTAAAGGCAATTGGAGCCCTCCACTTCCTCCTCCCGTCGAGTTTGCACTACTTGTTACTGATCCTCTTGATGGATTATTATTGTTATTATTCGCTATATCCTGATTGAGCCTTAATGGAGCACTAGTATTATTATTATTATTATTTTGTAATTGCTGCTGCTGTTGTTCATATTGCTTTTGTTGAAAATGATGCTGCTGTAATTGAAGTGGACCTTGAATATTCGATTGAGATTGTTGTGTATTTATAGGAGCATTTTGATGAAGATTTCCATAAACACTTGGTTGTGGCTGACCAGCTTTTCCGTTAAATTGAAGTGAGTTATTATTATTATTCGCCATCATTGAATGGAATGGGACATTGATGGGTAATTGTGGTAATTGATGAGGTTGTGGCTGCATTTTCCTTACGTTTGTATCTACTTGATGAATTAATGCAAGTGGATATTGCTGCTGATGATGTGATTGTGCTTGGCCAGGATTTAATGGATGTACAGGTTGATTTGTTTGTTGTGGAGTTTCCTCTTGAACGGAGTTAGGAATATGAGGTTCACGATGGTTTCGAGGTGGACTTGAGCATCTTAAAGAATTCGATCGTGCTACGTGAGATATTTTGGGAAGATTAAAGCCATTGTATGTTTGTGGATTATGGAGTTCATGACCAAGAGACGATGTATTTGAATTATCTCCAATGGATGTTGCTAAGCTACTTTGTGGTCTAACGATAGTTTTTAAATCTAATATTTCGATAGGCGTAATAGCAGAGGGATCAACTAATGGGAGAGGTCGATTGGAAGATTTTAGAACTTGATTATTTCCCACTATTGAAGCCCACTGCAATGGTAATCCAATATATTTTCCTTCCTTCTTGTCATATCCAGTATGTACACGGTGCTCAAAATTCGATGGATTCGAGATTTGGGGTTTTTTTTTCTTTTTTGAAAACATTTTTTTTATTTTCAAATTAAAATTTCTCCTTTTTACTTTCCTATTTTTTTTATCGTTGTCTTGACAACTAAATACTATTTTTATTGTCAACAGATCACTATAACTACTGGAATGATTGTCTAATAGACTGAATAACACACAAAATAATTAAAAATTAACTCAAAAAATACTAAAATATAAATAAAAAATATATTTAAGAGAAACTAGTGTATCGGGTAGAAACCCAATGCGGATATATTCACACCGTACCATCAAAAGTATTATGGATAAAGCAAGATTTGCTCAGCATAAGTTTGAAGGTGTAAAACTTGACGGGTCAGCTGTGCTTGGCTCAGCATAAGTTTGCTTGTTTGCTTGTTTGCTTGCTTACAGAAAGCGTATTTTGCAATTTTCTCAGCAATGCCTCAATCAATTTGAAATCTGATTTTTGCAGATGATGTGAAATTTCAGGCACAAACTTTTCATTTTTGAACATGTTAAGCTATCTTGCTCCATATCCTCACAAAATTCAAAAAACTGATTTTTCAATCTGAACAAAACCAATAGATTCACACGTGAAAACGGTGTGAATATAGCAAAACATTTCCAACTTTGAGGGAATGTCCTAAGTCAAATTTCAAATAGCCGTTGGTTCTTGTTAAGCAGTCTACAATTATCAATTAAATTAAAACAGCTTATTATTGATATCTGTTTTTCTTAATATTTTTGAAGTGGTATGTGAGAAACTTCCACCGTTAAAATGGAAAGGCATCACCAACAAAATCAACAATTCTTGAAATCCGTAACACTAGAAATGCACAAAGCGACATCTATATTAAAAGACCAGAAGTTGCATTGCTATTTATTGTCTCTTTAGGAATGTATGCTTGAGACATATTTAAACTTTACGTTAAACACGCTTCAAAAATGCTTAGTGCGTTAAGATTAAATTATTAACAACACACTCTAAATGTCGAAATTAGAATGCACAAGTATGCTTACTTAAAACATTATATGTTTCCACTTTATTAAACATAAATTTTAACCAATGTTGACAAGAATTTTACATGATAAAAGTAAATTTATAAACATAAATTGATAGGATGCAGCTTTAAATCACCCACAGACCAGAATCCCCACGCAAATTTCCCCGAAGCCCCCACAAAACGAAAATCACGAGTTTCCAAAACCACCACTTGAAAATGTATGTGGTGGTTCTGGAAAACAGTGTCCTTATTTCATAAACACCACATAAATTTCCAAGTGGTGGATAAAATCACACGTGTGTTTTTATTCACCACGTACAATTACAAGTGGTGTTTCTAGAAACACATGTGTTTCATATCAACCGAAAATTTTGTCTGTGGGCGTTTTGAAGATCAGTGTAATATTTTTTGAAGTTTAAAAAGTAGTGAAAAAAAATTAGGATTTATTCTCATTTTTTTAAAATGCAAACTTAATTTTTGTATTTAAATAATGAAAATCCGTTAAATGTTAAATTCAAAAATAAACTGTGCGGGAAAGTATGAAATCTTTTTAAAGCACTTCCAAAAGCTTTTTTATCCAGAAACTTTTTTGAAATATTAAAGCAATATAGAAATTAATATTTTAATTACCAAAAAATTGTTTTTGTTAATTTTATATTACATAAAGGATTAATCAGCTAAAACTTTTGTAGATCATAAAGCAAAATTAATTCTTTACAAATGCTCTATTGAAATGTTATAAAAAGCTTGTAAAAATTCAACCAAAATAAGTAGAAAAATTAAAAAATATGTTTTATTTTTTTTTGTTTTTTCACGAAATAGGACGAATAAAAAAGCTTTTTAATAACTTTAACAAGAAAGGAATTGAAATATTTCATTAATTAATGACTTAAAGGAAACAAAAAAGCAATTAATTTAAAGAATTTTTTTCTGTTTTATAACTCAGTTGTTCGGTAAAAAAATTTCGCACAAATTTTAACATTTACAATCAAGAAATTATAAAATCAATTTTTAAAGCACTTCCAATGATTTTTATAACTTGAATTTCTTTTGAAACCGTAAAGCAATTATCAAACTTTATATTAAAACTGTGATTTGATTACAAGCAGCACTGGTTATGTCCAAATATTTAAAAATATGAAAATCATAATTTTGTATGGGATTTTAAATTATTCAAATTTAAAGCTGCTCCAAGCTTCGAAACTGTTCAAAATGATGTAAAAATGTTTGTACAACCGTTTTACACAGAACTGCAAACAAAATTTTGGTTTAAATGACTTATTTGGGCTGATTTCTTTTTTATGTGAGCGCACAAATTTCAACATTGCACAAATTTTAACATGGTTTACCCTAATATCAATAATTTTCGATTCTTCGGATAATAAAAATGGAAAATTCCGATTTCTGTTATCGAGTTATCATCACAAGAATGACAGGGTCACTTAATTAAATTTGAATTAAAAGAATAATTAAAGTCTAAATCAATTAAATCTATTTTTGAGTGATATGAAACACATGTGTTTCTAGAAACACCACTTGAAATTGTATGTGGTGAATAAAAACACACGTGTGATTTTATCCACCACTTGGAAATATATGTGGTGTTTATGAAATAAGTACACTGTTTTCCAGAACCACCACATACATGTTCAAGTGGTGGTTTTGGAAACTCGTGATTATCGTTTTATGGGGGCTTCGGGGAAATTTGCATAGATATTCTGGTCTGTGGGTGATTTTAAGCTGCATCAGTTGATAGTATGTACCATAGAAACCTTAAAAAAGTAACTTCTTCCTGTGATAAATAACTTAAAATCGTCATTGTAATGAAAAATTTAAGGATAAATCGTGAGGAAAGTTTATGATTCATAAGTTGACATAAAGGAATGAAATTTTTCAAAGAATGAAGCTCACGACTTTCTACTTTGTCAAAAAAATAGAAGTATTGTATAGAAATGTACCTCGAAAATGTCAGCTCTTAATACTCTGATTATAAATAAAATTTAAGATTCGACTGTTAAAAATGCATAATCCGACTTACAAATCGTTCAAAATAAATGTTTAATCCTAACTAGTATATTTGTCGTGCACCGATCAAAAATCATTGTTGAGGAACGTTTCCAAAGGTTCTCAAACCAATTCTATTCAAACGTTTGCCAATTGTTATAACATGGAATCCAATGTTTTGTAGTTCTTCGTGATTAAGAATTTTACGGCCGTCAAAGATATATGCAGGTTTCATCATTGATTGATAAATGCGATTAAAATCTAATTCTGTGAATTCGTCCCATTCAGTGCAAACAACGATTGCATGAGTTTTTTCAACGGCAGCATAAGGATCCGTAAAGATTTCGATTGAGCTCTTTACTTCGTCTGGAAAGTCTGTGATTCTTGGTGAAGTCAAGTCCATGATTATTTGAGATTTCTCAACCTGAATTTAATGCAAAAATTATTAATTTCAATGGAAAACTGAAATTCAAAAAGCGTGTAATTAACGGTGAATTTTAATGAACTCAACCAACATGAACCGTTTTGTTACTGAATGATTTTAGTCCCTTTAAAAAAATTTAAAAAAATACCGTTAAAATGACACACCTTTCCACTTACTTTTGGATCATAGATATTAAGCTTAGCGCCTTCATCTAATAATGTCTTACATACTGAAATAGCCGGAGTTTCTCTTGTATCGCCAGTATTTTTCTTAAATGCAAATCCTAATACTGCAATCGGCTTGTCATTTACCGTGTTAAATAAGCACTCTATGATCTTTTGTGAGAATCTTGATTTTTGATATTCATTCATATCTATGACCTTTTGCCAATATTGTGCAACTTCTGGTAGATTCAATTTTTCGCTAATATAAACTAGATTCAACAAATCTTTTTGGAAACATGATCCACCAAATCCTTTTTAAAAAACATAAATTAAAAAAGTTATAATTTATAAATGTCAAAGTCATACCAACAGATGCCTGCAGAAATTTAGATCCTACACGAGAATCTAAACCGATTGCTCTCGCAACTTCCGATACATCAGCGCCTGTTGCTTCGCAAACTGCAGACAATGAATTAATACTTGAAATTCTTTGTGCTAACATCGCATTTGCAGCCAATTTAGACAGCTCAGAGCTCCACGTATTCGTGGTCAAAATTTTATCCTTTTCAACCCAATGCTCATAAACCCAGCAAAGAGATTCAATTGCACGTTTTCCTTCTTCGGTTTCTTCTCCGCCAATTAAAACTCGATCAGGCTTCATAAGGTTTTCAATTGCCGTGCCTTCAGCCAAAAATTCAGGGTTTGATAAAATGGAATAACGAACTCCAGGCTTATTATTAGCCTTCAACACATGCATAAGACTTTCAGCAGCTCTTACTGGAACGGTGCTTTTTTCAACCACGATTTTACTATCTTTAGCAATTTTTGCTATCAATCGTGCACATCCTAAGCAATAAAAATAATTTTATGACTGATATTATCACGACTAATTGATTTATTGTACCTTCTACATGCTTCAAGTCTGCAGCACGACCTTTACCATTTCCACTTGTTTTAGTCGGTGTATTAACCGAAATAAATATTAGCTCAGCTTCATGAATTGCACTCTCCATGTCTGTTGAAAAAAAGAGATTCCTTCCGCGACATTTCTTAACGACTTCGTCTAGACCCGGCTTGAATGTAAATACGAGAAAATCATTTTGTGATTATGCTTGTCATAAATCTTCAACATTACAGAGAATATGTGTAAGGTAGTCTTTAAGCGTAAAAAAAGTGATGACGCTGGCCTTGATTTAATGATGAATTATACAATTTAACGATGGCCTTTTTTTTATTGTAAAAATAATTGAGGATATAAACCGAGCCGTGCGTGTGAATTTGCAATGGAACCTTGACCCGCATCTTCTCAGATTTTAGATTCTTCAGTTTTTTTTTTTTGAGTGATAATATAATGAATTTATCTTTATGACGTATTAATTAAGCAAACGATTGTGCTATAACTGGGAATTCTTTGTCACTTTCATTTTCTTATCAAGATTGTATTTATATTAGTCAATGCTTCTCGGGACAAATTTAAAGCCACGTTTTAAATGCTATTCAAAAAGATCTTCAATTTATTATTGAAAAATTGTGTTAAAACTTCCGACTCGAGCAATGACTGGTGTTTTATTTCTTGTTCTTTGGGTATTTTCCAAAACTTAGAAAATATAAATTTCAATAAGAATGACTATTGTGTTTCTTTTTTGCAAGCTGACAAGACAAAGAGCAGGGAATAACAGAGATTTAAGATGATTTATTCGGATGATCATAGCGAATTTTATGTTAATTTCCAGTAATAATCTTAAAATATTTATGATCGGAAGCAGAAATGTAATCCTTGATAAAGTTTTTTTTTTAATACAAAAACGCTCGTGCTGATATGTGCAGGCAACATAACACACAAAATAAAAATTATGAAAATGTGAAACCAGATATCGGACACAATTTCCTCATGTTAATTTTATTACAACATTCGAAAAGACTTTGTGACTAATCAAACTAGAACTGCCGATGGCAAGAATAAATATGTTCTTACCTCATAAATTGGTAGTTTATCGGAATTCCATTGATTGATGCGTTCTAAATTTTGATCAACCACAGTGACTTTTATATCCGGACACATTAATGCCATCACACTACATGTTGGTCCACCGACGTAGCCTATAATAAATTTAATAAACCGCTTAAAAATTTTTTCATCGAGAAATATCAAAGATTTAATATGAATTTGTTAAGTTAATTATAGATGGTTCATTAAACAACCAAAATCCAGATAAACAAATCCAGAAGAGTTATATTTACAATACAACGGAATGAATAAATATTGTTTTAAGACAAAAATGTGTCTTTCTCCGACTCATTACTCATCTTTTTCTCAGAAATTAAAAATGCATAGAATTAGCAACTTGCCTGCACCAATGCAACAAATGTGCTTGATGGGATTTTTTGGAAGTGTTGAATGTCCATTATGCGATTCTGTCATCTTATTGGGTTCTTATGATATGTACTGCTTTTAAAAATCAACTGTTATTCTATTTACTTGCTTGCTTTTGAATGTTCAATGAACTTTTTATTAATTTTTTCTTCTTGGAAAAATCTTATCCCAAAAATTAAATGACTATAAAACACTGTTACACGACACTTAAACAAAAGATCTGTTAATTTTTGTTAAAGTCATTAAGGACCACATCCGATTTATATGAAGTTTCACTTAAAACTAAACATATTTTAATTTTTAAGTTCTCTTTTGGTGACTTCGATCACATATCGTCTGTTTTTGTTGCTGCAAACAAGTATTAAAGTTTTTCATCTTTTTGCAACGCAAAATCAGTGTATGTATTCTGATTGTTTCTTATGAAACAATGGTTATATGATGCATAATATATGTTTTTATCAACATGTCTTAAAAGTTTTTTTGAAATTTAAAATCTTTTGCTAATGGCGATTGATTTTTAAAATGGATTGTTCAGATTAGGTAGGTACCTAAATTCCGAAAGTCTCTCAATAACATGAAGTTGCACCCCACTTTAAATCCAGTCAAAGAACTTTTAACATTGTTTTAGTCTGTTCTTGAACTCCAAATAGTAAACATCTTTCTTATTTATTATCAATCTATATAAAATCGATAAAATCTAATTCTTTAACCTATTTATAAAACGTCATCGTGTGCATCGTCCCACCACGATAGGTAATTTTATATGTGGACAAAGTGATTTATTTAATATTTTCTTGATGCAAAAAATCTGCTTTTAAATTTGACGAAGAACTTAACGAAAATTTATATTCGGAGCCATTTATTGATGATATATAAAGTTATCATCGGAGGGGGGGGGGGGGGGGGGGGGGGTGTTTTAACTAATTTGAAAGAAGAGTATAAAAAAGATCTAATATTCAAAAACACAATTAACAGTTGTTGTAACTAGATTTTAAAGGAGAGGTAAAAAGGGGGGGGGGGGGGTACATTCCTAATTTTGCTGACGTCAAGTGTAAACAGATCATTTTGTATCTTATCAAACAACAACATATACATAGAAATTTATTTATTCTTCCTTCGATTGCTTAGTATTTCTCTATTCGTCAAACTTTTAGGAGTGCAAAATGCTGCGTTCATTTAATAATATTCGTAAAGGTGAGCATTTGTTTTTAGAATAAGTCGATTCACAAATTTATGACCTTTGATCACTGATTTGTGTAATATTATTTTACTGCCAACAGTTTGTTATCATCATCATAAACAATTGACCAGAAATTATGCGAAAATAACGACTCATTACACAATTCATCCTCGTGATAAAGACGAGCGATGGAAGGACGTCAATATGGAGAGATATATTGATGAAGTTGATATTCTTATTGTAGGTGAGTTAAACTGTAATAAATTCTTTACTAGATTTTCATTTCCTATTGTATATTTCTTTAGGTGGAGGGCCAGCTGGATTATCAGCAGCAATTCGTGCTAAACAGTTAGCAGCTGAAAAGGAACAAGAAATTCGTGTATGCCTTGTAGAAAAAGCAAGTGAGATTGGTGCTCATATATTATCGGGTAAATTCTTTGTGCTATTCTCTTATCGCACATAAGTCATAAATATTTAAATAATCTTTAGGTGCCTGTTTTGATCCAATTGCTCTTAATGAATTGATACCTGATTGGAAAGAGCAAGGTGCTCCGCTTAATACTCCAGTGACCAAAGATAAATTTGGCTATTTGACGGAATCTTCTAGACTCCCGATTCCAATTTTCTCTAAATGGCCTATGGATAATCATGGAAATTATATTGTCCGTTTAGGGCATGTTGTTAAATGGTTAGGAGAGCAAGCTGAAAATTTAGGGGTTGAAATTTATCCAGGATATGGAGCTTCAGAAGTTCTTTATAATGAGGATGGAAGTGTTAAAGGCGTTGCTACACAAGATAATGGAATTGCTAAGGATGGATCACCAAAAGATAATTTTACAAGAGGAATGGAACTTCATGCAAAATGTACAATTTTTGCTGAGGGATGTCGTGGTCATTTGACTAAACAAGTATCAAAAAAATATGGTTTAAATTCACAATGTGAACCTGGAAGCTATGGAATTGGAATTAAGGAAGTTTGGGAGATTCAGCCTGAAAAACATTCGCCTGGACTTGTTGAGCACACAATTGGATGGCCTTTAGACAAAAATACTTATGGAGGATCGTTTCTTTATCATTTGAATGAATCAACTCCTTTAGTTGCTGTTGGATTTGTTGTTGGTCTGGATTATAGTAATCCTTATTTAAGTCCATTCCAAGAATTTCAAAGATTTAAGACACATCCAAGTGTTAAGCCAGTTTTTGAAGGAGGAACTAGAATAGCTTATGGAGCAAGAGCATTAAATGAAGGTGGATATCAATCACTTGGAAAATTAACTTTTCCTGGTGGTTGCTTAACTGGATGTTCTGCTGGATTCCTAAATGTGCCAAAAGTAAAAGGAAGTCATTATGCAATGAAGTCAGGCATATTAGCAGCTGAAAGTATTTTTGAAAAATTAACAACATCTTCGGAGAAGACAATTGAGCCAACAAAATATGAGGAACGAGTAAAAGAATCATATATTTACAAGGATTTATATAATGTTAGAAATGTTCGTCCAAGTTTCCATACATCATTAGGACTTTTTGGTGGAGTTATGTATAGTGGGTTTTCAATATTTCTTAATGGTAAGGAACCTTGGACTTTTTCTCACGGTGGACCAGATAATACTAAATTAAAGCCAGCTAAGCAATGTCAACCAATAGAGTATCCAAAACCTGATAATAAAATAACATTCGATTTACTTTCATCTGTTGCTTTAACTGGAACTAATCATGAATCGGATCAGCCCCCACATTTAACACTAAGAGATGATAAAGTACCTGTTCAACAGAATTTAGCCATTTATGCAGGTCCAGAATCACGCTATTGTCCTGCAGGCGTTTATGAATATGTCCCAGACGAAGAAGATAAGACTGGAAAAGCAATGAGGTTACAGATTAATGCACAAAATTGCATCCACTGCAAGACTTGTGACATAAAGGATATTACACAAAATATTAATTGGGTCACACCCGAAGGAAACGGTCCTGTTTATAATGGCATGTAAATTTTTAAGCTCGTTCTTATTGAGTGTCACCAGATCCTCGATTCCTGCACATTCAAAATTTTTACCGAATCGACAATCATATTGCATTTATTATGATTTTAATCCTTTATCCCAATTTGATTTTTCTATTTTGTTGTGCAATTTTATAAATTTGAATATGTAGTTAAGCATGATGACACGTGTATGTGTTTTTTATCGAATGATTAATAAAGTGAATTTATTAGGAAAATTTTTTAAAACAAAAAAGTTCAATTTTCCTAATGTATAACTGACAATTTTTTTTCGAATCAGACAGAGTTTTCAATGGAAAAGTTGCTGATCGTTGTTATCCACGACTATCCAGTTCAGCAACTCTGTGAGAGTTGTTGTTTTCTTCGTTGCAGTAAACTTCGATTTTCCCAAATAATAAAAAAAAGTGTTTATTACACAGTGAACTAGAATGTTTTATATTAATTGGTAATTAAGAATCAGTGAAGAGCAAAAACAAAAGTGAATAAATTATGGCTTCAAGTATGAAATAGAGATTTTTTTCGAGCATTTATAAATTTTCATTGCTGTCATATATTTTAATTTTGGATAAAGATTGTGCTTTTTACCTTAATTCATTGTAAAAAGGATCATCTGTTGTATAATTGAATGACATAATTAAGATTATTTGTTGTACATAACACAAAAAGTATTTAAAATACTAAACATTTGAGATATCTATTTGCTATTCAGGTCAAACCGGCAATATCTCAGTATTTGTAATAAAATTAAGTTAGTGTTTAAGGTAAATAGACAAAATTGATTCATTAATTACATTGGTCATGTTGTTATATTTTCGTAGATTTCTTCAATACTTCATTTTAATAAGTTAAAGATACTACGTATTTCGTTAAGAAAATTTTCTTTAATACTGTACAGTTATTTTCCACATATTTTCGAGTCAGTCGTTGAATTTCTATTGGGTCATACGATACATCATACGAGCACAAGATTCGTCGATGACGTAAATTTTTATTAAAAACTATTCAGTTTTCCACATTGTCAATAACTTTACCATCTACAACAAGCTCATCTTATTAATCTATGACAATATCTAATTTTCTCACTCATGTTAATTATGTTAATAAAAAATTAAGCGTGACGTAAGTTTCGTTGATGCCAATTCGTAAAGGTTTTTGGCGCCTTAACTTGATTTTTTTCATTCATAAGTTTTCTGTTGTTTGAGTGTGTTGTATGTTACGGTCATTTCTCGAAAGATGCACGTGAGACATACTTTCTTTTATCGACGTCTACTCACCATAATCTAAAAATAAAATTAAAACTTTCAGTTTCTCATAAAAAAACAAACAAACAAACAACACGCTTATTGCCAAAAATGTCTTATCGTTTTTGTTTCTTATAAGAAGCTTGTTATTCTAGTTTAGAGTGCTTCTTTGACATTTTTAAAGGTTTAAGCTTTTATCGTAAATCAAATTCAAAGGATTTTAAGTTAAATACGGTGGCTTAAGCTAGGATTTAAAATGAGTTTTGTTTCTAATGTTTTAGCTAAGTAATTAAGGCTCAGTTCTGTCTGTCTCATGAAACAGTTAAACAAAAACTAATTGGAATACGAAAGTTTCCGAACTCCCCACTGACTTATTAAATATGCTCATTCCTCATTTGCAAGTCAAATCCGATTGCTTATCATTATCATTTTTCCACTTTACACTGTTAGTCAAGTATAAAGGTTGTAACGAGACGGTTCTGAAATTTTTTTAAAGTGTAAGGTGTGCTATTCTTTTTATTTAAACGATTTAAAGTTCTTTTAAATAAAACTTCCTTCGTGTAAGAAAAATAGTGAACTTGCATAATTTAGCGACAATAACAAGTGCAAATATAGTATTATTTTGTAATTAAAACGACTTTTTTAAGACCAAGTGTCACTTACAAACGAAAATTTCAATATATATTTTTTGTTACCGGCCTGCTAAATCACATATAGTCTCACATATATACATGAAAAAACGTATAAAATATGTCATGATCGATCATGCGATTCTCTCGCACTTGAAACTCGATTAAATAAATGAGCAAAAGTGTAATGCACTTTTACTTTACGACAAATAGTCATATTGTACAGAACTATTCTTTTATTCTCTACACATTCTTACTGAGTATATATTCATTTAAATTGGGTAAATAAGTAAATTGGGTGACTTTTCTTTATCGTACATTTATGTATCATAATCTCTCAATCACGAATCTTATCTTACTAATATTTTGTTGTGCTTGCAAATTTTTCATGTGTGTGGCGTGTTGCTGTGTCATAGAGTGATTAAATAATAATAATTAGATTTTTTATCAATTGGAATCGTGTTAGAAAAAGAAGAACTGAGTGTTATTTTTTAAATAAATATAAAAGTGAGGAAGTTCTAAGGAAATTTGAAATTAATGTTCTACTTTATGGTGGTGATCTTTAGCTTTCTATTGGCTTTTATTCAATACTATTTCCATAAATTAACGTCCGATAGCCGAAATTTAACCTTAGATCAGCAACGGCAAAGCGAAACTAACGTTTTAAGTACGTAATCGATTGTAAATTGGAAAATAATGCTAAAATAAACCTGATTTTGTTCATTAATAAGTTATTTTAAATTTTTTGTTGACTATAATTTTTTTTGTTTGTTTGTGTATACGTCAAACACATGCATCATCAGCAGTTATTGTTTATAGTTTTGTGATGCATTCAACTTCTGTGCAAGTTGATCAACTAATTTAATTTTCATTATTTTTGTGCCCTTTGACAGATTCAGATCAGCAAGATTCAGAATTATCTGAAAATCTAGAGAAGCTAGGAGTTGAAAGTAAAATTCAAAAGCGTGTCACGTTTTCGGACGAACTACATCTGCTGAGTAAACCACCAGACACACACAGACACTTTTTCATGATGGAAAGTAGTACGGGAAGTTCAGAACAAAAGCCAAATTTCCTTGTTGGCGGTGATAATGGATATGATGAGATTGAAGAAAAAGACATTTTTCCACCAGAAGATATAACCGGCTCATTAGCAAAACAGTTGTCTGATGCCGCACTGATCGATAAACGAAGGAGATTAAGGTAAATAATTTTCTCTTATCTTAAAAAAAAATATTTGTCTATGTATGTGTCAACAGGCAGGCAATGAATTACTCATTCTCTTTCATTTAAATTGCTGAGAGAAAAGAAACAGAAACATAAAAATAAGTGTAAATATAAACAATCATCTAGCGGTATAATGAGTATATATAAAAAATGAATCACATGTTGTACTGGAATGCTGTTGTAGACTTGAATGAAAAATATTTGAGTGAAACTCCCATCGAAGATAAATTGTTGTTTTCAAGTTCACATTTACTCTTACAAAATCCTGCGACTCACATTCATGACGAAAATACATTTTCTTTTCGCTTCCATCGCTTTACGTTGGCTAATGTAAAGTGGTTTGACTGCTTGGATTCGCGTATCGTACGATCAATGTTTTCTTTCTGTTCAACAATACTAAAGGTTGATTTTGATGTTAGTTGTGATTTGTACGTTGAACGGTCAAGAGCGAAAAATTGAGTAGTAAAAAAGTAATAAAAAGAGTGTAGACGCGTCTAATTAACAAAAAAAAAAAATCCCTTTCCCTGTTCATAAAAGTGTTGTTAAAAAAGTATTAAAAATTAATTCGGTAACTAGAGATAGTTTAGTGTATAGAAGAAATTGCAACATTTTGTGGATCAATTTACATCTAGTTATAAATTCCGTAGAACAATAGTACATAACATCATCTAGCTTCTATCTTCTTATTTAAATGTGCTCATTGTTTAATTATATAGCTAATAAATTTTCCAAAGATAATTATAAGCGTTCCAATTTATCGGTAAATAAGTGTGTTTGTAGTTAAGACAATTGATTAAGCTGTTCATTTTGTTTATTTTGAGTCAAATCGCTTAAGAGACCCAATTGCTTATTCATTGGGTCTTGTCTGTTTGCTTTAAATAATTTTTCATATTAACATTTTCGAAATAATAAAGTTTCTCTTTTCACTACTTCCAATTTTCTTTTGTTACATAATTATGATATTCATCAATGCTATTTGAGAAACCAGATTGGCTTTATTTCCCAAAATATCTTAGGGGTCACTCATTAATGATATCCATCAAAATCTTACTTCCCTGTATGATTAAAAATATTACAAGTGTTGAATTTGGCCACTTTGAAACGTAGGACTTCATTTATGAACAGACCCCTTGTGCATTTCATGTGTCTTATAAATTTTTGAATCTTAAAACTGGTTCCATTTTTTTCCTCAATTCTTTTTCTATAGGCTACTTGTTGATATCTTATTCTCTTCACACGCACTTCAAAAAAAAATCATTTTGAGATTTTTTGCACGTTTGATACTGAAAGACTAACAATTCGTTTCTTCTGCTTAGAAGTATAAAGACACGGGACAAGGTTAAAGCTTACGTAAATTACTAACTCTTTTTTTCTTGGTGGTACAAAGTTCAATGTCAAGCATTCGACATGTTCATACGAAAATCTAATAGGTACTGTGATATTTTTATTATTTTATTACCTATATTTAAGAATTCTTGGTCACTAACATACATTCCAAACACATGTGTTGCGATTCCTTTTTGCAAAAAATAATATATTATGTTAAATAAAGTTTTATTTGCTAAGATTTAAATTATTTGCACATAATTAACAAATATCCCATCAATTAATTCTCTGTGCAAAAAAATACGCAGCATATTAATAAAGCGATGTTAAAACGACGTCCGAGTAAAAGATTTGTGCTGGCAGAAATGGGCGAAGAGACTGCATGGGACACAGTTAATGATAATGATCCACTGACAATTCCTCAAATTGATATCGGCTTGGTTTCTGAGTCTGATTTCGTAGACGAGGAATGTCAGTCAAACATTGAAGAGACGCAAATTGAGCAACCACACCCAAAAGCGCAACGACTTTCTGTCCCACAAACGATCAAATCTGGAATGAAGTAAATAGCAAATCAATAAATTGATTCCAATTGATTTTTTTTTTATCTATTGTCTGCCTGTTGACATTTTCTCATTCTTTTTTTTTATCTATCTTTATCAATACGTATCGTGACTGAGCAATTTTTAATCGCTTAACAATCTCGTTTTTCCAATCTTCTTGTTTTTTATTTCATTGATATTTTATGTTAATTATTGCAACACCCGTGCAGACCAAGTATGAGTCATGGAACGGGTTTGGGAAGAGTTTACAGTGATCGTGATTTTTTGCTCGCAACCACAGAGGAGTTTGTTAAAAGATTTGGCGGTAATCGTGTGATTAACAAAGTCCTAATTGCTAATAATGGAATTGCTGCTGTCAAATGTATGCGTTCTGTTCGACGTTGGTCGTATGAGATGTTTAAAAACGAAAGAGCTGTTCGTTTTGTTGTTATGGTGACGCCTGAAGATTTAAAAGCTAATGCTGAGTAAGTGATTTTTTTTACTTTGTTTACTAACATATGATCATCGTCTGATATTATGACGCAAATCAACGAAAATGATGAGTTAATGACTTTACTCTCACTATATTCCTATAGATATATTAAAATGGCAGATCATTATGTACCTGTTGCTGGAGGTAGCAATAATAATAACTACGCAAATGTTGAATTGATTGTTGATATTGCATTGAGAACACAAGTTCAGGCAATTTGGGCAGGTTGGGGACATGCTTCTGAAAATCCTAAGCTTCCGGAACTGCTTCATAAGCATGGCATTGTTTTTCTTGGACCACCAGAACGAGCAATGTGGGCATTAGGAGATAAAGTAGCATCATCAATTGTCGCTCAAACGGCTGACATTCCAACATTGCCATGGTCTGGATCGGAATTGAAAGCACAATACAGTGGAAAGAAGATTAAAATTTCAACAGAATTATTTAATCGCGGATGTGTCAGTACTGCTGAACAAGGATTAATTGCAGCAACCAAAATCGGATATCCAGTTATGATCAAAGCCAGTGAAGGAGGTGGTGGAAAAGGAATCAGAAGAGTTGATACACCTGAAGAATTTCCAGCATTATTTCGTCAAGTTCAAGCTGAGGTTCCTGGTTCTCCGATTTTTGTGATGAAATTAGCAAAGGGTGCAAGACATTTAGAAGTTCAATTGCTTGCTGATCAATATGGAAATGCGATTAGTTTATTTGGAAGGGATTGTAGTATTCAACGTCGTCATCAGAAAATTATTGAAGAAGCTCCAGCTGTTATTGCAGATCCTGAGATATTTGAAGATATGGAAAAATCAGCTGTAAGATTAGCAAAAATGGTCGGATATGTTAGTGCAGGAACTGTTGAATATCTTTATGAACCAACTGAAGGAAGATATTATTTCCTTGAACTCAATCCTCGTTTACAAGTAGAGCATCCATGTACTGAAATGGTTGCCGATGTAAATTTGCCAGCATGTCAGTTACAAATTGGTATGGGAATTCCTCTGTATCGCATTAAAGATATTCGTTTATTATATGGTGAATCACCTTGGGATTCTACAGTCATTGACTTTGACAATCCTCAAAATAAGCCGAGACCTTGGGGTCATGTAATTGCAGCTAGAATAACATCTGAAAATCCCGACGAAGGTTTTAAACCATCTTCAGGAACTGTCCAAGAATTGAACTTCCGTTCTAGTAAAAATGTTTGGGGATATTTTAGTGTTGCAGCTTCTGGTGGATTGCATGAATTTGCTGATTCGCAATTTGGTCATTGTTTCTCCTGGGGCGAAAATCGTAATCAGGCACGCGAAAATTTAGTTATTGCATTAAAGGAATTATCAATTCGTGGAGATTTCAGAACGACTGTTGAATATCTTATCACTCTCTTGGAAGCCAATCGTTTTCTCGATAACACAATAGATACAGCATGGCTTGATGCATTGATTGCTGAAAGAGTCAAATCCGAAAAGCCTGATGTGCTGTTAGGTGTTATTTGTGGTTCATTGCACATTGCTGATCGTCAAATAACGGAAGCATTTAGGAGTTTCCAAACTTCATTAGAGAAAGGTCAAATTCAGGCAGCTAACATGCTAACGAACGTTATTGATGTTGAACTCATTTCAGAAGCAATCAAGTATAAAGTTCAAGCCGTTAAAAGTGGAGAAAATTCTTACTTTTTAGTTATGAATGGATCTTTCAAGGAAGTTGATGTTCATCATTTAGCTGACGGTGCTATGTTAATTTCTATGGACGGTGCAAGTTACACCACGTATATGAAGGAAGAAGTTGATCGTTATCGTATAATAATTGGAAACCAAACGTGTATATTCCAAAAAGAAAATGATCCATCTTTAATGAGAAGTCCAAGCGCCGGAAAATTGATTAATTTATTGATTGAAGATGGTGGATATGTTAATAAGGGTCAACCTTATGCTGAAATTGAGGTCATGAAAATGGTTATGACATTGACAAGTCAAGAAAATGGAACCATTACATTTGTTAAAAGACCAGGAGCTGTACTTGAAGCTGGAAGTTTGATTGGAAGTTTGGAACTTGATGATCCATCATTAGTCACAAAAGCTCAACTATATCGAGGCACGTGGCCAGTCAATGATAATATTCATGTTCCCGAGAAACTTAATCGTGTTCATAATAACTACAAATCAATTTTGGAAAATACACTTAATGGATATTGCTTGCCTGATCCGTACAACGCTGCTCGATTGCGTGAGATTATTGAAAAGTTTATGCAAAGCTTGAGAGATCCATCATTGCCATTGCTTGAACTCCAGGAAGTTATTGCTAGCATTTCTAATAGAATTCCAGTTTCGGTTGAAAAGAAGATCCGTAAATTGATGACACTTTATGAACGAAATATTACAAGCGTTTTGGCTCAATTCCCATCTCAACAAATTGCTTCTGTGATTGATATGCATGCAGCTACTCTCCAAAAAAGATCTGATCGTGATGTCTTCTTTTTGACGACACAAGGAATTGTACAATTAGTACAAAGATATCGTAATGGAATTCGTGGACGTATGAAAGCAGCTGTACATGAGCTTTTACGTCAATATTATTCAGTCGAAAGTCAGTTTCAGCATGGTCATTACGATAAATGTGTTGCACAAATTCGTGACCAAAATAAGGATGATATGAAAACTGTTGTAAATACAATTTTTTCGCATAGTCAAGTTGCTAAAAAGAATCTCCTTGTTACTCTTTTGATTGATCATTTATGGAGCAATGAACCTGGACTGACTGATGAATTGGCAGCCACACTGAGTGAATTGACATCACTAAATCGTGCAGAACATTCAAGAGTTGCTTTGAGAGCTCGACAAGTTTTAATTGCTGCTCATCAGCCAGCTTACGAATTAAGACACAATCAAATGGAATCAATTTTCTTATCAGCTGTTGATATGTATGGACATGATTTCCATCCTGAAAACTTGCAACGATTAATTTTATCAGAAACATCTATTTTTGATATTTTACATGACTTTTTCTACCATACTAATCGCGCTGTTTGCAATGCAGCACTTGAAGTTTATGTTCGCCGTGCGTATACGTCTTATGATTTGACATGCTTACAACATCTCGAATTGAGCGGAGAAGTTCCTCTTGTTCATTTCCAATTTCTATTACCGTTTGCACATCCAAATCGTGTGACAATTGATGGTACTATTAGTAGTAGTTTTATGAGAACTGGCTGTATGGCAGCTTTTGATTCTTTTGATCATTTCCAACAATATTCTGATGAGATTTTGGATTTACTTGAAGACTTATCGTCACCAAATTATGTAAATTCAAAAGTTATGGAGGCTGTTGATGCTGCCGATTCCGTTTCTGATGATCGAAGAATGAGTACATCAATTAACGTCTCGATTTCTGGTGATGGATCAATTCGTTCTGATGGTGAAACTTCACTTGTTATAAGATCTCCAGAACCAATTCATATTCTTAGTGTTGCGGTAAGAGATTTGGGAGATTTAGATGATTTACAGATGGCAAATCTTTTCGGATCATTTTGTGCACATCATCGCGACGAACTGTTAAGTCGTCGTGTTCGTAGAATAACATTTGCAGCGCTCAAAAAACGTCAATTTCCGAAATTCTTTACATTCCGTTCACGTGATTTATTCGAAGAAGATCGTATTTATCGTCATTTGGAGCCAGCATGTGCTTTCCAACTTGAGCTTAATAGAATGAGAACATATGATTTGGAAGCACTTCCAACAGCCAATCAAAAAATGCATTTGTATCTTGGACGTGCAAAATCTGCGGCAGATTCAAAAGTTTCTGACTATCGATTCTTCATTCGTTCAATTATTCGTCATTCAGATCTTATTACGAAAGAAGCTTCATTTGAATATTTGCAAAATGAAGGAGAAAGAGTCTTGCTTGAAGCTATGGACGAATTAGAAGTAGCATTTTCACATCGATTTGCTAAACATACTGATTGCAATCATATCTTTCTTAATTTCGTTCCTTGCGTTATTATGGACCCAGCAAAAATTGAGGAATCTGTCACAAAAATGATTATGCGATACGGTCCACGTTTGTGGAAATTACGTGTATTGCAAGCTGAATTGAAGCTTGTTATTCGACCAACACCACAATCAGACACTACAGCTATTCGTTTGTGCATAGCTAACGATTCAGGATATTTCTTAGATATTTCAATGTATCACGAAGTAACAGAAAACGGAGTAATTAGATTTAATGCTTATGGGAAACGTCAGGGACCATTACACTTACTAGCTATATCAACACCTTACATGACAAAAGATTATTTACAACAGAAAAGATTCCAAGCACAACAGAATGGAACGACTTACTGTTTTGATTTCCCCGACATGTTTAGACAAATGACTGAAAAGTTATGGAAACAATTCTCGAAAGATAGACCAAATGAAGATATTCGTATACCTGAGAAAATTCTCTTAGAATGCGTTGAACTCATTCTTAATGGTGACACTATGGAAGAAGTTCAAAGATTACCAGGTGAAAATGATATTGGAATGGTAGCTTGGAGAATCACTTTAGCAACACCAGAATTTCCAGATGGCCGAGATATTATTGTTATTGCTAATGATTTGACATCATATATTGGATCTTTTGGTCCACAAGAAGATATGGTCTTTCAAAAAGCTTCTGAAATTGCAAGAGAAAGAAAAATTCCAAGGATTTACATCTCGTGTAATAGCGGTGCACGTATCGGGTTAGCTGAAGAAATTAAATCAATGTTTAAGATTGCATGGGAAGATCCAGAAGAGCCAGAAAAGGGTTTTAAGTATCTGTACTTGACAACTGAAGATTATAGTAAAATTGCCAATAATAATTCAGTACGAGCAATATTGATTGAAGATGAAGGTGAACCACGCTATAAAATCACGGACATTATTGGAGAGAAAGATGGTATTGGTGTTGAAAATTTACGCTATGCTGGTATGATTGCAAGTGAAACATCGAAAGCTTATGAAGATATTGTTACGATTTCTATGGTAACATGTCGAACAATTGGTATCGGCTCATATTTAGTCCGATTAGGTCAACGTGTTATTCAAATTGAGAATTCACACATCATATTGACTGGATATGCTGCATTAAATAAACTGCTAGGTCGAAAGGTTTATGCATCCAATAATCAATTAGGTGGAACTCAAATCATGCACAATAATGGCGTTTCTCATAAAACTGATGGTGAGCTATTAAATTTTTTTAAAGATACTTTAATCCTTAAATTGGTTTATTATTATAGTTTGCGACTTGGACGGAATTTATACAATTCTGCACTGGCTATCATACATTCCTGATTTCCGTGGTGGTCGTTTGCCGATTTGTATTCCAAACGATCCAATTAATCGCAATATTGGTTACATTCCAACAAAGGCTCCTTATGATCCACGATGGATGTTAGCAGGCCGAGTCAATCCAGTTAATCACAATGAATGGGAAACTGGATTCTTTGATCGTCATTCATGGTCAGAAATTATGGAACCTTGGGCACAAACAGTTGTTACGGGTCGTGCAAGATTAGGAGGAATTCCAGTTGGTGTCATTGCTGTTGAAACGAGAACTGTGGAAGTGACAATTCCAGCTGATCCTGCAAATTTGGATTCAGAATCTAAAACAGTACAGCAAGCTGGACAAGTTTGGTATCCCGACTCATCTTACAAAACAGCACAAGCAATAAAAGATTTTGATCGTGAGGAACTGCCATTATTTATCTTTGCAAACTGGCGGGGATTCTCTGGTGGACAGAAAGATATGTATGAGCAGATTGTTAAGTTTGGTGCTTACATTGTTGATGGATTAAGAGAATATAAGCAACCAGTTATTATTTATTTACCACCAAATGCTGAATTGAGAGGAGGCGCCTGGGCTGTTCTTGATAGTCTCATTAATCCACGATATATTGAAACATATTCTGATCCCGAAAGTCGGGCCGGAGTTTTAGAACCCGAAGGAATTGTTGAGGTGAAATACAAAGAAAAGGACATGATCAAGACAATCCAACGACTCGATCCAGCAATTATGAATGTAAGTCATTTTTATCTTTAACAGTTCTCAAATCCTTAATCAATTAATTTATCATTAGTGGAACACACAAATTACGGAACTTGGTGGAGACAAGGAAGCTGTTGCAGCGCTAGAGAATAAAATTAAAGAAAGAATGACAGCATTAATGGCTGTATATCACACTGTTGCTGTTCATTTTGCTGATCTTCATGATACACCTGAAAGAATGTTAGAAAAGGGATGCATTAGTGAAATAGTTCCTTGGAGAACTTCTCGTGTTTGGCTATATTGGAGATTAAGACGACTCATATTGGAAGATCATTTCGTTAAGAAGATACTCAATGTTCAGCAAAGCTTATCTGTTGGACAAGCAAAATGTAAAAAAAAATCTCTTTATTTATGTATTGAATATCCGTTTAATAATATTTTAAAAATTTAGCCATGCTGCAAAGATGGTTTGTTGAAGACAAAGGAGAAACAAATTCATTTGTATGGGATCAAAATGAACCAGTTGTTGAATGGCTTGAAGAACAGAAGAAGGACGAGCTTTCGATAGTCAATAGAAACATAAATGCTGTAAGAAAAGATGCCATTGTATCACAAATAAAGAAAGCTCTTGAAGTAAGTCCCTCAGTTTACAATCAAATTCATTAAATATTCTTTTTACCAAAAGTTGTTATGCTTTCATCATTTAGGAATGTCCTGAAGTTGCGCTTGATGCTGTCGTGGGTTTATGCTCAAATCTATCAGCTGCAAATCGCGGTGAAGTTGTTCGTACGCTAGCACAGTTAGAATTCGAGAATATGGAAGGAGGTCACTCATCTATTTGATTTCGTATTTAAATTATGATTTATTTTTATTGTTGACAAAAAAAAACTTTAATGAATACTTTTCATGTTAGAATTACTGGGGATTATATAGAAATAAAACTTTTTTGGGTAAAAAAGTGCTTCAAAAATTATCAAAAACCATTGATTTTATTTTTCTGAGCTCTTAATAGCGTATAAAAGTTTCTGAAATTTCCAGGCCAGATTCAGAATATATTTTGACAAACATGAAGTTAAAATTTTTATTTGCAATGTTTTTTTATTGCCATTGTGGAAGTTGAATTAATTCTACAGAATGAAGATGATTCAGACGTCAGAAGTTTAAGAGCAGAAGATGACGAATGTTAATGCCATTAAAGTTTATTTGAGAGTTTGTTTAGCAAGTTAATTGATTACAGTACAACGTGAGTGCAACAACAATACTCGAAGATTTGAAAGACGTCAAGGACAAAGATGAACAATTATGACTAATTAAATTATATATTATATTAATGCAATGTAAAGTTTGGTATATCAATATAATCTTTTTACCCCGTTAAATAATTTTATTGGTTTTTTTATTAATTCTTCAATAGGCTTCTTAATAGTTAAGTTGCATACTTAGTAACTGCCAAGGCGTGGACACTCAAAAATACGCTGGGATTATTCAGGATTATTGGGACTATTAAGATTATTGGGATTATTTGGGATTATTTAGGATTAGTTGGGATTATTGGGATTATTGGAGAAAAAATTATTCAAATATCTTGAATGTTTTGAGAAAATGAACCGTTAGAAATATGTTTTTAAAGCCATTGTGACTTGTAAAGTTAAAACAATGTGAAAATATATCATTTTGAAGTGTTTGTCGAGTACCAAAATATAAATTCGATCATATACAATAATTTTTCACAGAATTTTAACTGATTTATTTAAACAATCGGTTTCTGGCATAGGATTAGACATTAACTCAGAGTTTGAGATTTTGACTAGGCTTGTCCCTAGTTCATAATTGAAAATGTATTTCCTACTTGGTTCTTTGGTCAAAAATTTTTTAGGATGTTTTATTTGTATTTGTTTTAAGCACTAGAATATTTATGCAAAGTTTCAATCCATTTGTATAAACCCTCGAAGAAAAAAGTGACAAAATTTGATTTTGACTAGGGTCGCCCCTAGTCCAAAATTGAAAATGTATTTCCTTCTTGGTTCTTTGGGCAAAAATTTTTTAGGATGTTTTATTTGTATTTGTTTTAAGCACTAGAATATTTATGCAAAGTTTCAATCCATTTGTATAAACCCTCGAAGAAAAAAGTGAGAAAATTGATTTTGACTAGGGTCGCCCCTAGTCCAAAATTGAAAATGTATTTCCTTCTTGGTTCTTTGGTCAAAAATTTTTTAGGATGTTTTATTTGTATTTGTTTTAAGCACTAAAATATTTATGCAAAGTTTCAATCCATTTGTATAAACCCTCGAAGTAAAAAGTGAGAAAATTGATTTTGACTAGGGTCGCCCCTAGTCCAAAATTAAAAATGTATTTCCAACTTGGTTCTTTGCTCAAAAAAATTTCAGGATGTTTTTTTTGTATTTGATTTGAACACTAAAATATTTATGCAAAGTTTCAATCCATTTGGATAAACCCTCAAAGAAGAAAGTGACAAAATTGATTTTGACTAGAGTCGCCCCTAGTCCAAAATTGAAAATGTATTTCCTTCTTGGTTCTTTGCTCAGAAAAATTTTGGGATATTTTATTTGTATTTTTTTTTAAACACTAAAATATTTATGCAAAGTTTAAATCCATTTGGATAAACCCTCGAAGATAAAAGTGACACAATTGATTTTGACTAGGGTCGCCCTAGTCCAAAATTGAAAATGAATTTCCTACTTGGTTCTTTGCTCAGAAAAATTTTGGGATGTTTTATTTGTATTTGTTTTAAACACTAGAATATTTATGCAAAGTTTAAATCCATTTGGATAAACCCTCGAAGAAAAAAGTGACAAAATTGATTTTGACTAGAGTCGCCCCTAGTCCAAAAATTAAAATGTATTTCCTACTTGGTTCTTTGCTCCAAAAAAATTTAGGATGTTTTATTTGTATTTGTTTTTAGCACTAGAATATTTATGCAAAGTTTAAATTCATTTGGATAAACCCTCGAAGATAAAAGTGACACAATTGATTTTGACTAGGGTCGCCCCTAGTCCAAAATTGAAAATGTATTTCCTACTTGGTTTTTTGCTCCAAAAAAATTTAGGATGTTTTATTTGTATTTGTTTTAAGCACTAGAATATTTATGCAAAGTTTAAATCCATTTGGATAAACCCTCGAAGAAAAAAGTGACAAAATTGATTTTGACTAGGGTCGCCCCTAGTCCAAAATTAAAAATGTATTTCCAACTTGGTTCTTTGCTCAAAAAATTTTTTTTAAGGATGTTTTATTTGTAATTGTTCTAAGCACTAGAATATTTATGCATAGTTTCAATCCATTTATATAAACCCTCGAAGTAAAAAGTGAGAAAATTGATTTTGACTAGGGTCGCCCCTAGTCCAAAATTAAAAATGTATTTCCTTCTTGGTTCTTTGCTCAAAAAAATTTTAAGATGTTTTATTTGTATTTGTTTTAAGCACTAGAATATTTATGCAAAGTTTAAATCCATTTGGATAAACCCTCGAAGAAAAAAGTGACAAAATTGATTTTGACTAGGGTCGCCCCTAGTCCAAAATTGAAAATGTATTTCCTACTTGGTTTTTTGCTCCAAAAAAATTTTGAGATGTTTTATTTGTATTTGTTTTAATCATTTGAATATTTATGCAAAGTTTAAATCCATTTGGATAAACCCTCGAAGATAAAAGTGACACAATTGATTTTGACAAGGGTCGCCCCTAGTCCAAAATTGAAAATGTATTTCCTACTTGGTTTTTTGCTCCAAAAAAATTTAGGATGTTTTATTTGTATTTGTTTTTAGCACTAGAATATTTATGCAAAGTTTAAATCCATTTGGATAAACCCTCGAAGAAAAAAGTGACAAAATTGATTTTGACTAGGGTCGCCCCTAGTCCAAAATTAAAAATGTATTTCCTTCTTGGCTCTTTGCTCAAAAAAAATTTAAGGATGTTTTATTTGTAATTGTTCTAAGCACTAGAATATTTATGCATAGTTTCAATCCATTTGTATAAACCCTCGAAGTAAAAAGTGAGAAAATTGATTTTGACTAGGGTCGCCCCTAGTCCAAAATTAAAAATGTATTTCCTTCTTGGTTCCTTTCTCAAAAAAATTTTAAGATGTTTTATTTGTATTTGTTTTAATCATTAGAATATTTATGCAAAGTTTAAATTCATTTGGGTAAACCCTCGAAGATAAAAGTGACACAATTGATTTTGACTAGGGTCGCCCTAGTCCAAAATTGAAAATGTATTTCCTTCTTGGATCTTTGCTCAAAAAAATTTTAAGATGTTTTATTTGTATTTGTTTTAAGCACTAGAATATTTATGCAAAGTTTCAATCCATTTGTATAAACCCTCGAAGAAAAAAGTGACAAAATTTGATTTTGACTAGGGTCGCCCCTAGTCCAAAATTGAAAATGTATTTCCTTCTTGGTTCTTTGGGCAAAAATTTTTTAGGATGTTTTATTTGTATTTGTTTTAAGCACTAAAATATTTATGCAAAGCTTCAATCCATTTGTATAAACCCTCGAAGTAAAAAGTGAGAAAATTGATTTTGACTAGGGACGCCCCTAGTCCACAATTAAAAATGTATTTCCTTCTTGGTTCTTTGCTCAAAAAAATTTTAAGATGTTTTATTTGTATTTGTTTTAAGCACTAGAATATTTATGCAAAGTTTCAATCCATTTGTATAAACCCTCGAAGAAAAAAGTGACAAAATTGATTTTGACTAGGGTCGCCCCTAGTCCAAAATTGAAAATGTATTTCCTTCTTGGTTCTTTGCTCAAAAAAATTTTAAGATGTTTTATTTGTATTTGTTTTAAGCACTTGAATATTTATGCAAAGTTTCAATCCATTTGTATAAACCCTCGAAGTAAAAAGTGACAAAATTGATTTTGACTAGGGTCGCCCCTAGTCCAAAATTGAAAATGTATTTCCTTCTTGGTTCTTTGGTCAAAAAATTTTTAGGATGTTTTATTTGTATTTGTTTTAAACACCAGAATATTTATTCAAAGTTTCAATCCATTTGGATAAACCCTCGAAGAAAAAAGTGACAAAATTGATTTTGACTAGGGTGGCCCTAGTCCAAAATTGAAAATGTATTTCCTACTTGGTTCTTTGCTCAGAAAAATTTTAAGATGTTTTATTTGTATTTGTTTTAAGCACTAGAAAATTTATGCAAAGTTTAAATCCATTTGGATAAACCCTCGAAGAAAAAAGTGACAAAATTGATTTTGACTAGGGTCGCCCCTAGTCCAAAATTGAAAATGTATTTCCTTCTTGGTTCTTTGGTCAAAAAAATTTTAAGATGTTTTATTTGTATTTGTTTTAATCATTAGAATATTTATGCAAAGTTTAAATTCATTTGGGTAAACCCTCGAAGATAAAAGTGACACAATTGATTTTGACTAGGGTCGCCCTAGTCCAAAATTGAAAATGTATTTCCTACTTGGTTCTTTGCTCAAAAAAATTTTAAGATGTTTTATTTGTATTTGTTTTAAGCACTAGAAAATTTATGCAAAGTTTAAATCCATTTGGATAAACCCTCGAAGAAAAAAGTGACAAAATTGATTTTGACTAGGGTCGCCCCTAGTCCAAAATTGAAAATGTATTTCCTTCTTGGTTCTTTGGTCAAAAAATTTTTAGGATGTTTTATTTGTATTTGTTTTAAACACCAGAATATTTATGCAAAGTTTCAATCCATTTGGATAAACCCTCGAAGAAAAAAGTGACAAAATTGATTTTGACTAGGGTGGCCCTAGTCCAAAATTGAAAATGTATTTCCTACTTGGTTCTTTGCTCAGAAAAATTTTAAGATGTTTTATTTGTATTTGTTTTAAGCACTAGAAAATTTATGCAAAGTTTAA